CAAGGACACACAGCACATTTTTTCCTGTGTCATTGGACGTCATGCTTTACCACAATTACCTTTGTCAGAGGCCGCGGGGGGTCACTGCTCTCTTACAGCTTGAGGACAGCCCTGCTATCTGGAAGCCACACCAGTGATTAAGATCTCCTAAGGTGACCTTTCCCCAAATTAAAACAGAGTTTCATCCATTCCTTGTAAAATAAAAGGTGAGGGTGCTGGCTCTTCTGTTCAGCTAGGAGAGGCTAAACTGTTCAGTGGGTAGAATGGGGAACCCAGACCTGCATCCTGCATCCTGCATCCCTTCCCTGGTATTCTTGAGCATGCGTGAAACAGGAAAATGGTGTGCACCTGGTGTGGCTACCTCAATAACACTTGATGGCGCCAAGACCTGGCCCAGGAAACATTGCCAGTGATGTTAGTTTCTATGCCATTACCTAGCAGACACCTTTCCTTTGTCTGGGTATTGGGGGCCCCGTGGAGAAAAGCCTCCTATTGCTTCCAATCTCACTTCACCCCTTTGCCATCCATCTGCCAGCTTGCTGTGTCTCCTCCAACCCTGACATCCTTGTCTTCATGGGTGCTTGACAAAGCCAAGTTCTGGGCAAGCGCTTCAGAAGACTGTTGCTAAGAACACATCATCAAAGCAAGGACTGCCTGTACCTCGAAGAGACACACGGGGCTCTGAATTTCAAGCATTTTACAGCGTTCCGCTGGACAGGTCCCAGGCCCCAAACTGATTGCTCCAGAGCATCTGTGTATAAAAACCGGCAGCTGTGAGCAGCCAGTGCCACTCCAAGTTGCTGGCACAAATTAACTTTGACCAAGAATGAAATAATAGTGGAAAGGACAAATAGCCTTTTATACTCTTAGAATGACTCCTATCGAAGATGAAACGCTGTCTTCCCAAAGGTTCTGCGGGTTTATTTGTTTGTTTGTGGGAGATGGGAGCCTTGCAGAGAGCTACCACCTGGTGACTTCCTGCCCTTATCGGTTCTCATCCCAGGTTAGGCTGTGGGCACAGAACGAAGCCAAGGGAACATCAGAAAAGCTGGACAGGGAGGGCTCTCTCAAGGGATCGCAATGTGAACGGGCAGAAAGCCACACCCTTTCCACGTTGGCCAAGGTTTGACAGACAGGAAACACGAATGCACGTGTCACTTATGTGTTGCCAAGTGTGGACAGCTGTTCACGAGTCATGACAAGGCTCTTCACAAGCATGATACGTTCCACAAATACAGAACCTCAGAATCCAAATAACGCCTGTTCGAGGTTAAATACAACAGTGAGGCACTCACGCTTGCAAGCAAAGCTCTTGCCCAGGTCTACTCCCTGCGTCTTCACGTCCCCATATCAGCTTCCAAGAATCAGGTCCACAACTGCTACCCACTTCAGATAAGAAACAATGAACAGGGCCGGGGATGGCTTAGGAAGTAAATCAAGAATGTGAAGACCAGAGTTTGGATACTGAGGACCCACATAAAGAGGGACAGCAAGATGGGAGATAGAGACAGGAGAAGACCAGAAGTGGGTTAGTGAACAAGACGTGGCTCAAACACGGTGGGAAATGTGGACTGATACCTGAGGCTGTCCTCCGACGGCTGCACGTCCACCTTAGCACACCACACAGCTGTCCTCCGACGGCTGCACATCCACCTCGGCACACCACACCTCAGCTGTCCTCCGACGGCTGCACATGCACCTCTGCATGCCCACACCTCAGCTGTCCTCCGACAGCTGCACATGCACCTCTGCATGCCCACACCTCAGCTGTCCTCCGACAGCTGCACATGCACCTCTGCATGCCCACACCTCAGCTGTCCTCCGACAGCTGCACATGCACCTCTGCATGCCCACACCTCAGCTGTCCTCCGACGGCTGCACATGCACCTCTGCATGCCCACACCTCAGCTGTCCTCCGACAGCTGCACATGCACCTCTGCATGCCCACACCTCAGCTGTCCTCCGACAGCTGCACATGCACCTCTGCATGCCCACACCTCAGCTGTCCTCCGACAGCTGCACATGCACCTCTGCATGCCCACACCTCAGCTGTCCTCCGACGGCTGCACATGCACCTCTGCATGCCCACACCTCAGCTGTCCTCCGACAGCTGCACATGCACCTCTGCATGCCCACACCTCAGCTGTCCTCCGACAGCTGCACATGCACCTCTGCATGCCCACACCTCAGCTGTCCTCCGACAGCTGCACGTCCACCTCGGCACACCACACAGCTGTCCTCCGACGGCTGCACGTCCACCTTGGCACACCACACAGCTGTGCTCCGACCGCTGCACGTCCACCTCTGTGTGCCCACAGCCTCAGCTGTCCTTCGACAGCTGCACGTCCACCTCGGCATGCCCACAGCCTCAGCTGTGTTCTCTCCTCTCCCAGGGATTTGGCATGAGTGACTGACAAGAGAGGTTCCCTAAGGAGGACCCAACATTGTCAACGTCCAGTAGCCAGAAGGCGTTTCTCAGAGGAGGACCTAGACTCATGACTCAACTTTCTTCAGTCGCATGGGACTTAAAGTCAACTCAGTACCAGTCTGTTTGGAAAAGGTGAGCAGAGAAATGGACCCAATATGAAGAGCTCTTAGCCTCAGCATGACTAAGAGCCTGCCTCTCTGGCCTCAGCCTGCGAGTGAGACCTAATTCAACTGGAACATTTCTTGTCGCTGTAGCACACAATGGACACAGAGATAAACACCCTGGTTAGGAGGGCGGCAAGGGTCACAGCCACCACCTCCAGCAGGCCCCATTATCAGCTCCATTAGCTCAACAAATGTTTGGGTGAACTAAAGCAGAGATGTGATTTGAACAAATAGTCGCCTTCGGAGGATTTACACCCGTCGGCCGGCTAATTGAATAACGTGTCAACATAACAAAATGTTTGCCTCTTGCCTTCTTGGGGAGGAAAACTCTCCCCCTGGGCTCAGTGTTCCATTTTCCGAGGTTCTCTGTAACAGGCAAAGGAGGCTGGGCCCCGCAGACAAGTTTTGTTATAATTAACGCAATACTGTCTGGTTCTCTCGAAAACTAGGAAGAGGCAGAGGTCCCGAGAAGAGGAAGCACGAAGAATACTGATGGTAACCAGAAAATTAGTTGAAAATAAAGAAGTCGATAGTGACAGACCAATGGGCAAGTTCAAATGCACACTCCTCATTACGTAAACACAACTCTGAAAAATGTCTTCCAGCAGTCAAGCCCTCATAAGGCACCAGGAGGAACTGTCACCGGGTGGTTGTTACTTAGGGGCTGAAGCCACTGAGACAAACAGACAACCAATTAGACTCCTGGAAGGAAACAGATGGCCTAATTCAAGAGTCTATCTGAAAAAGAGCGACAGAAACGCAGTCCTCCAAGGACTCTGTCCTAACTCAATTCTCCTGTTGACGTCCCTCAACCTTAGAATGTCAGGGCTTGCGAACTCAACCACACCACTTCTCCTTTGCAAGAAACTATCGCCAAAGCCAAAAAAAGGGCCATAGAAAACTGGAGGTGTTGGTACGGGGAAGAAGGCACTGGAATGTGCGTCCGAGAGCAACAGAGCAGAGCAGAAGCCCAGCTAGGGTTCAGATACCAAGAAGAAAAGACGAGCAGACAGACCTTCCTAATTTTAGGATTCATATGTCCCCCTCCCCCGCAAAACTCCCCATGAGTTGTGATTTATCGGTTTTATATATAGAAACCATACATATTTAAGATTCCATGCCCCTCACAGGGGGGGCAGAGGGAGGGGATGAGAGAACAAAATGAAGCCTTTTTGTGTCCCCCACAGGGGAGTTTTCTACTGAAGCTTGAGTCTGACTTGAGGAGTCCTGGGTCTTGCCCTTCCCAGTTACTAGAGATGTCAATCAAGTCTCATTTCCAGTGAGCTCCAAATAGGCTAAACTCCAGGAGGGGATGGTGCACTGTCCACGGTTCACTGTCCACAGAGGTCTCCCCTCGTGGCTGGTTTGCACTATCAGGGAGCAACACACCCCCAAAAACAGCAAGGGGCCAAGGCTTGGAAGGGAAGGCAAGCCAAAAATACCCAGCCAGCGCAGCTGTGTGTACAGTACGAATCTTCCCAGCAAACACAGCACAGGGATTTGATGCTCCCTGGATCACAGGGCTCACAAACACACTTGGAAAAAAATAATCTGACCATCGCTCAGCACTGGAAGGTTCTCTGGGGGCTGTGCATGCTGCTCAACTGCTTACCTAGCACATGTGAAACCCTGGGTCCCCTCCCCAGTACCTCAAAAGATTGAAAGAATAAATATGCATATTTTCCATCACATCAAGGTAACATTGGGGCTACATGGGTGTGTCACGCTTGATCATTTCAAAGCGGGGGGTGGGGGGAGGGCAGCTTTGGTTTAGATCCTTACAGAATTGCATGGTTCAAGGGTTGCCATAAAGTCCGAGCTAATTTTCCTGTCAACTCCAAGGGCTGTTTGTTGTGCACGGGGGGACCACACCAACTATGCAACTGGCAGTGGGCTCAGCTAAGAAGGTAGAACACTGGTGGAAACTCCCTGGGACAAGTACAGCCCAAAGGAGCCATCACACCTCCGTAAAATCAATAATCAATCAGTGGTGATAAAAGGGCAACTTGGCAGGGACTCACGAGGCAGGGCCAATTCAGCGGGAACCTACTACAGTCTTGAAAGACAGGCTAGACTCAAGCAGTTCTCCTGTCACCCTTTCCAGAAAGGGCAGACCACCAGGGGTCCAAGTTGAGGAAAGTGGCTGAGGTGACGGCACTGCTGACTGAGAAGTCAAGGTCTACTTACTGCTACAGGGGGAAGAGGGGCGGAGGGCAGGGGAAGGGGTGCTGACACACAGGAGGCCCTGCAACCAGCCCGGGACAGAGGGGTGAATGAGAAGGGAGGGGACTAGAGGCACTGGCGAGGGCGGGAGAGGACCGGAGTGAACAGGAGGGGACGGAAGGGACCGGAGAGGGCGGGAGAGGACCGAAGGGGACTGGAGAGGGCGGAGAGGGCCGGAGCCGTACCTGGGCTCCGGCAGGACGACCTTCTTGCTGGCGCGCGCAGCCGGCGCCGCCTTGCTCTTCTCCATGGCCATCAGGTAGCTGACGTCGGCCAACACGGCCTCCAGGTCCGCCATGGCGGCTCCGCAGCTCCCACCGCCCCGACGGGGCCACGGCGCGCCCGACGCGCGACCCCGACGCGGACCCCGACGCACCGCCCCTTCCGCGGCTCCGCGTCCCAGCCCGGCGCGCCCCCAACCGTCCGCGGCCACGCGCTCCTGACCCAGCCTCTCAGGCACCAGGGACTTCCTCTCCCTCCTCCTTTCCCTCTCCCTCCTCCCTTTCCTCTCCTCCTCACCCTTAGCTCCCCAAGCACAGTCCAGACGCCCAGTACTCAGGGGACCATGCCAGGAGGTCTCCAATAGCACACTGTCAAGCCCTTCCAGGAAGTACCCTGGAGCAGCCCCACCTGTCCTTTCAGGTGATTGCCAAAACCTGATTGAGGTCAGAGCTACTCCCAGGGGACGTCCCCAGCCACTAGCCCCACCCTAGACCTCCCTCTGTGAACCACACCAAGAGAAACCGAAATAGTGGAGAAAGTTGCTTGGCTACTGTGTGCAGGGTGAAGCAGTCCTGCCCTGGAGTGGAGCTGTCCCTGGGACACAGCTGATGAGGCACTCTAGGTTCAAGGTCACAGCTCGCTTGTACTCAGGTGAAAGGCCTCAGGGTGTGTGTGTCCAGTGGGGGGCTTTGGGTGTTTTAGCTCTTGCAGGCTTAGTACCAACTCAAGGGGTACAAGAGGAAGCGCCTCCTTGAGAGCTCTGGGCCTCCTGAGTTTTCAGGGAAGTAGAAGAGCTGAGGCCCCTCTTCTGGGCAATAGGGAATTTCCAGGGGCCTGGGCCTTCCATGGTGACCTTTTCACTACCCCCAATCCTGCCTGGGTTGCTACTTATTTTTTTGTAGCCAGGCACACAGGTCGACATTCAGAATCCACGTGGCAGGCATTGAGGAACCAGAAAATCTAAAGCTATCCTGAACTTGAAGTGCCTGTATCCAAATTGTCACATAGCACAATGAACCTCGGTTCGGCCAGAGCTGGATGGAGTCAACATCTGTCCTTAGTTGAGGGGGTAAAGGTCAAGTTTTGGCTAGTTCTGGGACAGTCCTAGCAGAAGTGGCTTGGGTCTGCCAGCGCTTGACACAGCTTTTGTTTTCTCTCTTTTTGTTTTCTCTACTCTGTTTGCTTACTGACCAGTTTTACCAGAAGTTTCTCCGGCTCCAAGGTCCAGTACGCAGGGGGCCAAGAAGGGGGTGAAGGCCCTGAGAAGGAGCTGGATCTCTCCCATAGAACCGATGTCACTGCGTAGCGCCACTTCCTCGGCAGAGACAGGCCGAGCCCAACCTGGCCTTGGACTTCCCACTTCTGCCACTTTCTCACCCAAAAATGGGAACACAGAATGTCTTGTCCACCCGAGGTGGAGGGAGGGATAAGTTCCCAACAAGGATGCTGCCTTTTTATGTCTGAATCAGAATAGTTTCTTCCAAAATCTTGGGTTTTTTTTTTTATATCATCTGGGGGTTTTACAAATAAACCATCCTCCTGCCTCATGCATTTTCTTGATCTTCTTTGACCTAAGATACTTTTTGTTTGTTTAGTTGGGTTCTTTTTCCCAGTTGTAGTGTGTAGTACGTTATGGAGACACTTTCATTCAAAACCTTGGTCTCTGCTAAATGATTGAGAGACAGCAGAGGCAACATCTAAGTTCTCTTGTGGCTGTTTTCACTAATGACCTGGCAATGAGACCAGTTACAACCAGATCTTTTGTCTAAACAGAAGGAGGCCAGCACCTAGAAATGTACCTTAGTATAGGGTGATGGTTCAGTCTGTGAAGTGCCAGTCACACAAACATGAGAACTTTAGTTCCATTCCCAGACCGCACATCCCAGCACTGGGCCTGGGAGTGGGAGATGGCGAGGCAGGCAGAGATGGGGGAGAGCTCACTGGCCAGCCGGCCTAGGTGAATTTGTGAGCTCTTGACCATCAAGAGACCAAAGCTCAGAAAACAAGATAAGGGGCAAACATGATGGCTCAGCCAGTAAGGGTGCTTGCCACTAAGCGTGATGATTCAAGCAAGTTCAGTGGAAGAGGAGAGCTAAGGCCTGAAAGGTGACCTCTCACCTCTGCATGGGTGTATACATGTATGATAAATAAGTGTGACTTTTTTTCTTAAATTCCATTTGGGAACAACACTCAAGTTTGTCATCTGACTGCCCTTTTAAGTGCATACACACATACACATGTGAACACACACACACCTTGCCTGACACCTAGTAGGTCTTCCGCCAACATCACCTCCTATTCTACTCCCTCTTCCATGCTAGAGAAGATTCTAAATCGGAGTCTCACAGTTACATGCCAAAGCAGGAAGACCCCCCCTTACCAAAAATAACATCTCCCTAGGGCAATTCTAGGAACCAAAAATGGCAAAAGTGGTGTGCATTTATAAACACAAGCATTGCTTTTCTAACGGAAGGAACAGCATGTCCTAAACGTGTCCATGTTTCTGAGGCCCCTCATCATGCCCAGGTACAACTTCTGGAAATGGTATCTATCAGGTGGCCCACTCTGTCTTCTCTGCTGACTCCACCTCCCCTCTTTCTCATGGCTAGAATATGAAGCAGCATTCCCTGCTCACTGAAAACAAAGGGCATTGATGACAGTGACATAGTTGTCATAACTGAGCCTCTGAGCCCTGTCATTAAACATCATCATCACCAGCCTGCAGTCCCTAGAAAGATGCAGACAACAAATCGGCACCCACGCATGTGCTTGGTGGGCAGAACTCCCTGGCAAACAATCACGGCCCAGCCCCCTCCACCCCCAAAAGACTGAAGTGCTCAGATCTCAAGCTGCTTCTGTGAATTGACAGAACTCCAGGGTTTCCACACAGTTCGCAGTGTGCTCTCTCTCTCTCTCTCCTCTCCACCACATCGCGCCATTAGTGGGTCCTGGCTGAGAACGGCATACTAAAGGCATAGCTCTCTGGAAGGTGAGAAGATTGAGGTAAAGACACTGTCAAGCCTAAGTTCGATTCCTGAGACTCACATGGTGGGGATGTAGAACTGCCTCCAGCAAGCTGTGCCCTGACTTCTGCATGGGCTCCCTGACACACACACACAGATTAATAACTATGAAAACACACATTTGGCCCACCAGAATATATGCTAGCAGATTCCAAGGGGAAAAGCTGAGCAGGGATTACCTGGTCTCACTTATTTCAGCTTCTGAGCTTGCTGAGACTGCACACATGATCTCCAGGTGATGAATTGAAGACTTAAATGGACAGAGCTGGGGATGGTGCAAGCACCTTTAATCCCAGCACTCAGGAGGCAGAGGCGGGGAGTTTGAGGCCAGCCTGGTCTACAGAGTGAGTTCTAGGACAGCCAGGACTACACAGAGAAACACTGTCTCAAAGAAAAAACAAACAAACACAAACTTAAATGGCCACTAAAAGGATAAGGCTGAGCGCTGTGCCAGGTTCGTCCTGCTACAACTGAGAGCTGCTATGCTCATCCTTAGTTGAGGCACACCTGTGATCTTCCACCCTGTGAACAGAGTCGGTGAAAAATCCTTCACCACAAGAAGCACTCAGAGGAGAAGCTGGAGAGAATGAGAAAGTACCAATGTCCAAGGCCAAGAATTCCAGAGAACATTCCAGAAGTCTATCCTACATTGTGTCTTGTTTTGTTTACTGAGACATGCATCAACACTGGGTCTTCCCTCACACTCCATCACTAGATTGGAATTTGCAGCGTGCCGACCCAGGGAAGGTGGAAAGCCAGGGTCTACACTAGGATCCACCCAAGACAGGAGGGCATGAAGGAGCAGGGCACATACCAGAGCCCTGGGCAGATGTACGTGAAGTACACAGGGTAAAGCCCATTAGGTGATCCAGTATTCAGTGCTGGGTAAGCGGTGCTCTGAGTGACAGGCCGGCCTCTGGCCCTCCCTTCTGTGCATATTTGTTCAGAATAGCTGAGAAGTGAGACCCAAACCAATCCTAGAACACCCCTCAGACTCCAGCCTGCTAGGCCCAGTCTTGAGAGACATCCACATGACTCTTTAACAAGCATCAGGCAATTGGGGGCTACTTGACTGACTGCCCACCACTAAAAGGCCATCTGCTCTATCCCTGGTCAGCAATTAACAATGACTCACTCTGCCTTCTAAGTAGAGACTTGAGGTCCCTTTGCAGGAAGCGTGGAAAGCACTGGAACAGAGCTGTGGATGGAAAGGCCAAATCAGCTGACCCCAGAGGCAGGAGGTCCTGAGGTGAGGAGAGAGGAGGACCACCTGGTGGGCCACTGGGGGCAGAAGGAAGAGCTAAAAAAAAAAAAGCCCTTCATCCCCTCAGCTGCCTCGGCCAGGTAGTTGACAGCAATGAGAATATTAAAGTACCAGCCTGCAACCTGCTCCCCCAGCTCCTTCTCAGAGCCTCGGTCTCATCAGCCAATGCCAGGCATGGGAGTTCCATCTGTCTTCCTTTCTGGATGTCTGGATATCTGTCTTTCAAGGATTTCTGTCTGGCTGCTCAATGCACAGCTCTCTGCTCTGTGGTGTGCGTGCACATGCGTGTGTCTGTCTGTGTACATGTATGCTGGCATTCCTCTGACAGAAGCAGCCTGGAAGCAACCTTGCAGGGCTGTTAGGAGTCCTTCCCTGAACTCTGTCCTCCACCCCGCTTCTGCTCTCTTCCTCTCTCTAGGCCTCTACCTCCCCTTGCCCTTCTAACCTCAACACTTTCTCCTTCTCTATGCTCTCTTTAATCCAAACTGGTTTGGCTGGGTGTGGGGACACATGCATGCCAGAGACCAATGCAGGAGGACTTGGAGTTTGGGGCAGCCTGAGCTACCAAGCTAGACTCTGGGAAGGCTCCTGGGAGAATCAGGGAAAAGGCTGAGGGAGGTGGGAAGAGCTGCTGGGGGTGGAACCAGTGAGGTCAATTCTAAGGGCCTGGGTACACAGTCTCACCCAAGGGTAGCTTGCACACAGCCATTTCTGGAATAAACAGAACACGGGATTTTGCAGGAGCCATCTAGACTCCAGGAACCCAGTGGCCCTGAAGTGCAGCACCCTCGATTCTAAAGAACCTCATGCTCTCTGAGCAAATCTGATGTGTGTCAGACCTAATTAGGGTTTGGATCTGCTCCAACCCCAGAGCTGTCCCTCCT